TGCGAGCTGCTGCTGCAGCAGACCTCAAAAAGTGTCTCCTTTGTCTCCCGCCCCTTTACCCTTCTCTCTTCTGCTCTTCGCTGCTGCGGCTTGAAGTGCTGCTGCGGCGCATGCGGCACCAAGCCCCAACGTATCCAGTGTTTGCTTCTGCTGCTCTGGGGCACTGCAGCAGCAGCAGCAGCGGCAGCAGCAACGGCAGCAGCAACGGCACCTTCCCCGTCTTCTTCGGGGCTGAAGGCATGGAGGAGCCGGGGGCCCCCAAGAGGGCCCCCCGCCACCACAAGGCCCACGCGAACCTAATTCTAGAGTTGCTGCACCGTGCTGCTGCTCCCCTGCAGCAGCAGCAGCAGCAGCAGGACTTGGCTGTGCGGGAGGGCTTCGCGCTAGACAACCTCGCGGACCTCCTCGAGCTGCTGAGCTACGCCCTAGACTACCGCAGCAGGCTGCTGCAGCACCAGGCAGCAGCAGCAGCAGCAAGGCAGCAGCAGCAGCAGCAGCTGCACCTCCTCAACGAGTGGCAGGGGCAGCAGCAGCCAGCGCGCGCCCGCAGCAGCCCCAGCAGCAGCCCTGCTGCTGCTGCTGCTGCTGCAGCAGCAGCAGACTCGCAAACTTGCTTCTTCTCTTCATTAGATAATGCTGAACTTATTACAGAGGCCCCCATAGTTGACAGCGACGGCTGGCCGTGGGGCCCCCGGGGGGCCCCCCAGGAGTGGCAGCAGCGGCAGCAGCAGCAGCAGCAGCAGCAGCAGCAGCAGGAAGCAGGGCCCATCCTTGCGAGGCACAAGCTTTCCCTCTTCGACATTTGCGTCGAGTCCAAACTCTTCGCCAAAGACGGAATGCTGGGTTAGGCCTCAAACCCTAAACCCTTGTTCTAAACCCTAAGCCCCAGTCCCAAACCCTAAACCCTAATCTTAAACACCAAGACCCTCCAACTCAAAACCCTAAGCATTAGGGTTTATCTGCAGCAGCATTTAATGCCTTGAAGGTTTCGAGGCTCTTAGCTGCACATTCTTTATGCACCCCTGCAACGCAGCGTGAAGGCCTTAGGGTTTAGGGTTTAGGGTTTTAGGGTTTAGGGTTTGCGTTGGAACGCAGCTTGCACCTTCTTCGCCCGTCTGCGGCGTCTAGTTGAAGGCGAAAGCCTTCCCGTAGGGAGCACGAAGGCGAACCGGGGTTTGATGCTTGCAAATGAGGTGAGGTTTTAGGGTTTAGGGTTTAGGGTTTAGGGTTTACGGTCTCTAGTTCGGGTTGCGGAGTCTAGGGCATATGCGTCTGCACAATCAGGCTAGGGTTTGGAGTTTGCCGCTTCTGCACCACTTCGTCCCTGATGAGCTGCTTTGAGGCCCTGCTTGGCTCTAGGGTTTAGGGTTTAGGGTTTAGGGTTTAGGGTTTAGGGTTTAGGGTTTGGGTTCAGGTGCTCCGAAACAACAAGCTCACGCCCCTTGTCTTCGTCGCGCCGGAACTCGGCAAGTGGTCGACTGTGGGAGGCCTGGGGGTGATGGTGGATGAGCTTTCAACAACCCTAGCAACCGTAAACCCTAAACCCTAAACCCTCAATCCCATGGCGTCATCTTGGCTTTATATGGCCTTGGCGGATCAGCAGCGCTCTTCAGGCACTGCCTTATTTCTTCTCAGTAGCCCCTGGCTGATGAGCGACTCAAGATCAGGGCCTAGGGTTTAGGGTTTAGGGTGTAGGGTTTAGGGTTTAGGGTTTAGGACCTCTGCATCCACTGCAGGAATTCGGCCAAGAAGTAATAGTCATTTCTCCCTACTACGACAGAAACAGGCAAGCTCCCCGCGATCCCAAAACCCTAAACCCTTAGCCCTTTTTTCTTGCTAAGAAGATCCTTAGACACAGATTGAAAGGTAGGGTTTAGGGTTTAGGGTGTAGGGTTTAGGGTTTAGGGTTTGCTGCGCAGGCGGGGAGAAAGAGGGTATTTGGAGCGAGATGGAATCTCCCACGCATTTAATGTGGAGGTCCACGTAGGAGGCGAATTCATCAAACTCGGTAAACCCTAAACCCTGGAAAGGCCCCCATAAACCCTAAACCCTAGGGAGGCCCCCACAAACCCTAAACCGTAGGGAGGCCCCCATAAACCCTAAACCCTAAACCCTTCGTCTTCAAATGCCGTTGTTGATGCAAATGCGAACCCGGACCCTAGGGCTTTGTTGTTTGCCATTAAGGGTTTAGAGTTCAGAGCTTGGGGCCTAGGGTTTAGGGTTTAGGGTTTAGGGTTTAGGGTTTTGGCTCAGGCATCCACCGGGGCTGCGTAGTCAAGAATGTGCAGCTTTATTTCATTCACCACGCCTCCATTTTCCCTCAGCCTTATCCTGAGTTTTATGGCATAGACGCCATCAGGTGGGTCTAAACCCTAAACCCTAGTTTAGGGTTCCCATGTGTAAACCCTAAACCCTAGATTAGGGTTCCCAGCTGTAAACCCTAGACCCCCAACACTATGCCCCAAACCCTCAGGCTTCCGCGGCTGGCTCGCCACGCCAGCCCTGTTCTCTGAGCTGCATGTACCACAAACCCTAAACCCTAAACCACCAACCAGTGTTTTTCCCGGCTACCGGCTAGCTGCTGGGTTGGTGCAGCTGCTTGTGGCCGCATATTCCGGTTGCCGCGGGTTCTGGCTGCAGAGGCTTGCGGGTTTGGGGTTTAGGGTTTAGAGTTTAGGGTTTAGGGTTTAGGGTTCTGGGTGCGGAGGCCGCAGAATGCTGGTGACGTTTGCCAAGGGCGCTCTGGAGCTTCTCTGCCACGAGCGTATAATTCCGCAAGTCCGCAATCTCCAGGGTTTAGGGTTTAGGGTTTAGGGTTTAGGGTTTGCGGTTCTTCGCTGTGCTTGCTGGTTAGTGAGAATCGGTCCATTGTGTCTTTCCTTGTTCCTGACCCTGCAGCCAGTGCGCAGCGTCAGGGGGCTGCACAGGGTATACGGTTTAGGGTTTAGGGTTTAGGGTTTAGGGTTTAGGGTTTGCGCGTGCAGCTAATTGTGACGAACGACTGGCCCACATCTCTTATCCCCGCCTACGCCAAAAACGGCTTCTTTGGCTCCACTTTTGAAAACAGCACTTTCTTCCACATCATCCACAACTTAGACCCCAACTACGAAGGCAAGTGGCTGGCCAACTGGCTGGCTAGCTAGCTAGCTGGCTAGCTAGCCAAGCTAGCTAGCTAGCTGGGTAGCTAGCTGGGTAGCTAGCTGGCTAGCGGCTAGCTAGCTAGCTAGCTAAGATAGTTGGCTGGCTGGCTAGCTAGGTGGCTAGTTAGCTAGCTAGCTAGCTAGCTAAGCTAGTTAGATAGCTGGCTAGCCAAGCGAGTTAGCCAGATGGCTAGCTAGCTTGCTAGGTAGCTGGCTAGCTAGCTAGCTAGCTAGCTCGTTAGGCTGACTGGCTGCAGCGGCGTTTTCGTGGCTACCGGGGGAGGTTGGCTAGTTGAAGGGGCAGTTCGCCAGCTAGCCAGCTAGCCAGCCAGCCAAACAGCCTAGCTGTGGGAGCCGTTCGCCAGCTAGCCAGCCAGCTAGCCATCCAGCTAGCCAGCCAGATAGCCGGCTAGCTAGCTAGCTAGCTAGCTAGCTCCGGATGGGCTGAGGGGGCTCTGCAGAGGACGCTGCATCCACGAGGCTGTGCAGCTAACTGGGAGCTGGCTAGCCAGCTAGCTGGGAGCTAGCTAGCCAGCTAGCTGGGAGCTAGCTAGCCAGCTAGCTGAGTTAGCTGCAGGATGCGTTTGAAGACTGCTGCGCAAGTAGAGGCGCTGCTGCGCAGTGTTGAGGGCTGTAAATTGGCTCCTAGGGTTTAGGGTTTGGGGCTTAGGGTTTAGGGTTTAGGGTTTGGGGTTTGGCTTCAGGGCGCATCTACATGAACAAAAAAGAGGATGCTTACTGGCTGCATCAGCTTCCCACAGAGCTTCTGGTGGACCCTCTGTGGCACAACCACGTCGTAAACCCTTCGAGGTGGGCCGCGGCTCTAGGGTTTAGGGTTTAGGGTTTAAGGTTTGGGGTTTAGGGTTTGGGGTGAGGGAGTGTTTGGAGCAGTCCGCCGAGGCTTTAGACTAAGCGTTTGTGGTACCTATTGTTTTCCGCGTCGCCTCTTGAGCGCGACCCTGCGTTGGCTTCTGCTGCGCAGCGAGGGTTTAGGGTTTAGGGTTTAGGGTTTGGGGTGGTTTGTGCTGCTGCAGGTGCGTGCTGCTGCAATGCGACTCCTGGGGCACTGTGTCTCCTTCTTACCGCCAAGAGCTGCTGCAGGAAGGAGACACTAAAGTCCAGAGTTCTCCGTTGGCCCCTTTGCTGCGGCGCCACGCGAGTCCCTTCGCAGTCCCCAACGGCATTCCCATCCAGGTCCAAACCCTAAACCCTAAACCCTAAACCCTCGTTGGCGCGCCCCGCGCAGGGGCCTGCGCGGCGGCTCGGGGCTGCTGCGGCGCGCCACGCCGCAGCCTGTTCGCCGCTGCGCCGGGCGCTTGCGGTCTGGGGCCTGGGGTTTAGGGTTTAGGATTTAGGGTTTAGGGTTTAGGGTTTTGCTGCAGCGCCGGCTAGACGCCATAGCTGCTCTAGGGTTTAAGGACCACTACGAAGCCAAAGCCGCGCTGCAGCAAGAGTACTTCGGGATGCAGCAGCCAGACAACTCCATCCCCATCTTCGCATTTATCGGGAGAATTACGCAGCAAAAGGGTACAACCTGCTGCTGCTGCTGCTGCTGCTAGTTTTGCTGCTGCTGCTGCTAGTTTTGCTGCTGCTGACGCGGGCAGCAGCGCTGCTGCTGCTGCTGCTGCTGGGAGTGCAGCTGCTGTTAACGCCGGCACGGCTGCTGCTGCTGGCTGGCTGGCTGAGTCCACGACGGTTGCTTCGGCCATTCTTGCTGCTGCTGCTGCTGCTGCTGCTCCGTTTTCCGAATCTGCTGCTGTTGTTGCTGCTGCTGGCAGCCTTGCAAGCCGTGCTGTGGGCTCAGCGGCGGTTACCTAAGTGCTGCAGGATATGGGTACAGATCGTTGAGGCTGCTGCTGCTGCTGCACCTGTTCGCTGCTGCTGCTGCTGCTGCTGCACCTGTTTGCTGCTGCTGCTGCACCTGTTTGCTGCTGCTGCATTGCTTCTGCAGGTGTGCACTTGATTCTGGAAGCCGCAGAAACCCTCATCACTAAACACAGGGGCCGCGTGCAGCTGCTGCTTGGTGGTTTGGCGAACTGGAAGGACGGATACGCTGCGAGGTTAGGGTTTAGGGTTTTGAATCTAGGGTTTAGGGTTTAAGGTTTTGGATCTAGGGTTTAGGGTTTAGAGGTGAAGATGGCGGAAGCAGGACCTTGGTAGTGTCAGTAAAGGCATGAGGAGGAGTTCAGCTCTTCCGATCAAAGGGTCTACTGCTTAGGCTTTAGGGTTTAGGGTTTAGGGTTTACTGATTGCAGGTGCGCTACGAAAATGATGGAGCTGCGGTGGAAGTACCCACAAAGCTTCTGGGCGGATCCAAATGAGTTTTTCACCAAAGGCAAGAACTTGTTAAACCCTAAGCAGCGAATGCGGCAGCTGGCCGTCACGCGCAAACCCTAATTTAGGGTTTACGCCTACAGAGCAGCTCCTTGCAGCCTAACGCCACCTCTTGAAGTCCAGAACCGCCAGTTTTGGCGACGGCACGCAGCACAGAAACATGCTCCAGATGGAAGGTTCAGGAGACAGGGTCTAGGGTTTAGGGTTTAGGGTTTAGGGTTTAGGGTCTGCGCTGCAGGCGCCCACGTAAACTACGGGGCGGACTTCGGCCTCATGCCTTCGGCCTTCGAGCCGGGCGGGATCGTTCAGCACGAGTTCTTCATTTCTGGGACTCCTGTTATTGGTAAACCCTAAACCCTAAAACCCTAAACCCTATACCCTAGGCGCTTCAGAACAAACCCTAGGCACTAGGCTGCGACCTGAAACCCTAAACCGTGGTCCTCTCTAGGTTGCTGACACTAAACTCTAAACCCTGGGGCTTCAGGGTCGCGACTCTAAACCCTAATATCGGATCCTTTAGGCTGCCAGCCTAAACCCTAAAACCCAGGCTGCAGAACCTAAACCCTAAACCCTAATCCTTCCTAAACCCCAGGATGCAAAAACTAAACCCTAAACCCTAATCCTCCTCATGCATTTAACGAGACTGCCCACGGTCTGCTCGTCTGCCCCTCTTCCAGGACACGCCGCCAACACTACGAGCCACGGGTTTAGGGTTCAGGGTTTAGGGTTTGGGGTTTAGGGTTTGCGCGCAGCGTTTCACACGGGAGGCCTGAAAGACACGGTGGTGGAGTTTGTCCCCTCCACTGGCACAGGAAACGGATTTTGTTTTTTGAATTATACTTCCGGCGATTTGCTTTATGCCATGGAAAGGGCCATTAGAGTATTCGAGTCCGCAAACCCTAAACCCTAAACCCTAAACCCTAGCGCTGCAGCAGACCGCCCACGGCTCCGAAGCAGCAAAGCCCCAGACGATCCCCTAGGGGGCTGCTGCTGCTGCGAGTTGAGCCTGTTTGGAGCTGCCGGTGTGCCGGGTCTGGGACTGAGGGTTTAGGGTTTAGGGTTTAGGGTTTGTGCAGCGACAAGGAGAAGTACGCGCTGCTGCGGCAGCTAGCCAGGCGGTCTGTAGTTAGCTGCGAGTCCAGCAGCTGGGCCTGGCTTTGCGAGTTTGCGCGGCTGCGCAACAAAATGCCCATCAACGAGAACAAGGTGAGTTGGCTAGCCAGCTAGCTAGCCAGCTAGCTAGCTAGCTAGCTAGCTAGCTAGCTGGCTAGCTAGCTAGCTACGCAGAGAGGCAGCTAGCTGCCTCGCCCCAGCCAGCGAGCTTGTCAAGTCAGCTGTGCAGTGGCTGGCCAAGCAATTCCTTCGTGACAAGGTAGCTAGCTAGCTAGCCGGCTAGCTAGCTAGCTGGCTAGCTAGCTAGCTAGCTAGCTAGCTAGCTGCTGCATGCGTGCTGCTGCGACTCGCTGTTTGCACAGGTGCAACAAATCTACGAGAGGCTCCCCGAGTGGTCAGAAGGGGCCTGGAGAAAAAGAAAAGACCAGCTTGCTGCTGCTGCTGTGGGGCTGCCAAGTCCCCCTGGCAGTAGCTGGGGGGCCCCACAGGGGCAGCAGCAGCAGCAGCAGCAGCTGCTGCTGCTGCAGCAGCAGGCGGAAGCGGCTGCCGAGTTTTGGGCGCTGCCGTCCTCCACGGCGAACAAGGGGCGGCGGAAGACGAAGCTGCGGATCGACAGCAGCAGCAGCAGCAGCAGCAGCAGCACAAGCAGCACGAGCGAGGGAGAAACGCCGCAGTCGCACTTGTCCAGCAGCAGCAGCAGCAGCAGCAGACGCAGCAGCACAGACACAGCAGCTAGCCACAAACCAGCTAGCCACACAAACCGCCCCAAAAAGCTGCTGCCCAGCACAATCCGTTATATGCCCCCTCAGGGAAAGCCCAGGCCCCGTTCTGTGGCCGTTGCCGGTAAACCCTAAACCCTAACCCTGGCAAACCCTAAACCCTAGTGCTGCAGCGGGTCACTGGCAGGCGCGAGGCACGCAGACTGAGGTATCTGCTGCCGGCTAGAACTCTGCGGTGTGGGCCCACATATTCGCGGCTGGGGGGTCGAATTTGGGGTTTGGGGTTTAGGGTTTAGGGTTTAGGGTTTAGGGTTTAGGGTTTAGAATTAGGGTTTGCGTTCAGGGAGCTTCGACGACTGGCGCGTCCGGCGGCCTCTGACTTGGGACAATGCAATTCAGGCATTTGCAATATCTCTTGCGCTGCCTCCTGGAGAGTGTGTCCAGGGGTTTAGGGTTTAGGGTTTAGGGTTTGGGGTTTAGGCTTAACATTAAGAGAACAAGAACTATGGCCTGTGACTTTGTCCCGTTTTCGTAGCTTATTTGCTGTGCGGGAGCGTAGGGCGCTTAGCCTTTGCCCTAAGGCTTTAGGGCTTAGGGTTTAGGGTTTAGGGTTTAGGGTTTAGGGTTTAGGGTTCGTGGGGCTGCGCAGGTACACGTACAAGCTCGTTGTTGACGGGGAATGGGTTTGCTGCCACGACTCCCCGACTGCGAGAGACCCTGGAGGCAACGAAAACAACATTCTAGTTGTCGAGTGAAAAGCCGCCTGCAGCTAGCTAGCTAGCTAGCTAGCTGGCTGGCTAGCTGGCTAGCTAGTAGATGGCTGGCTGGCTAGCTAGTTGGCTAGCTGGTTGCCTGGCCGGCTAGCTATTTAGCTAGCTATCTGGCTTGTTGGCTAGCTAGCTAGGTTGCTGGCTGGCTATCTAGTTAAGTGGTTGGCTAGCTAGCTAGCTAGCTGGCTAGCCAAGCGGCTGGCTCGATATGCGGCTGGCTGGC